CCAGGACGATCCCCACCACCACCGACACCACCACCACCACCACCACCGTCACCACCACCGCCACCACCACCACCACGCTAGCAGCTGCTGCTGGAAGGGGCGAGGTGGTGGAATATCCATCTGAATCAACCCCCATGGAAAGTGGACAGTTGTCTAACTCACTCATACACTCAATCACTCATTCATACACTCACTCACTCACACACTCACTCACTCATACACTCACTCACTCACTCATACACTCACTCACTCATACACTCACTCACTCATACACTCACTCATTCATACACTCACTCACTCATACACTCACTCATACACTCACTCACTCATACACTCACTCATACACTCACACACTCATACACTCACTCATACACACACTCACTCATACACTCACTCACTCACTCATACACTCACTCACTCATACACTCACTCACTCATACACTCACTCATTCATACACTCACTCACTCATACACTCACTCATACACTCACTCACTCATACACTCACTCACTCATACACTCACTCACTCATACACTCACTCACTCATACACTCACTCACTCATACACTCACTCACTCATACACTCACTCACTCATACATTCACTCACTCATACACTCACTCATACACTCACTCACTCATACACTCACTCACTCATACACTCACTCACTCATACACTCACTCACTCATACACTCACTCACTCACACACTCACTCACTCATACACTCACTCATACTCATACACTCACTCACCTACTCACTCATACACTCACTCATACACACACTCATTCATACACTCACTCATACACTCACTCACTCATACACTCACTCATTCACTCAAACACTCACTCACTCATACACTCACTCACTCAAACACTCACTCATACACACACTCATTCATACACTCACTCATACACTCACTCACTCATACACTCACTCACTGATACACTCACTCACTCACTCAAACACTCACTCACTCATACACTCACTCACTCATACACTCACTCACTCACACACTCATACACTCACTCACTCACACACTCACTCACTCATACACTCACTCATACACTCACTCACTCATACACTCACTCATACACTCACTCACTCACTCATACACTCACTCATACACTCACTCATACACTCACTCACTCATACACTCACTCACTCATACACTCACTCATACACTCACTCACTCATACACTCACTCATACACTCACGCACTCACTCATACACTCACTCATACACTCACTCATACACTCACTCACTCATACACTCACTCACTCATACACTCACTCATTCATACACTCACTCACTCATACACTCACTCATACACTCACTCACTCATACACTCACTCACTCATACACTCACTCACTCATACACTCACTCACTCATACACTCACTCACTCATACACTCACTCACTCATACACTCACTCACTCATACATTCACTCACTCATACACTCACTCATACACTCACTCACTCATACACTCACTCACTCATACACTCACTCACTCATACACTCACTCACTCATACACTCACTCACTCACACACTCACTCACTCATACACTCACTCATACTCATACACTCACTCACCTACTCACTCATACACTCACTCATACACACACTCATTCATACACTCACTCATACACTCACTCACTCATACACTCACTCATTCACTCAAACACTCACTCACTCATACACTCACTCACTCAAACACTCACTCATACACACACTCATTCATACACTCACTCATACACTCACTCACTCATACACTCACTCACTGATACACTCACTCACTCACTCAAACACTCACTCACTCATACACTCACTCACTCATACACTCACTCACTCACACACTCATACACTCACTCACTCACACACTCACTCACTCATACACTCACTCATACACTCACTCACTCATACACTCACTCATACACTCACTCACTCACTCATACACTCACTCATACACTCACTCACTCATACACTCACTCACTCATACACTCACTCATACACTCACTCACTCATACACTCACTCACTCATACACTCACTCATACACTCACTCATACACTCACTCACTCATACACTCACTCACTCATACACTCACTCACTCATACACTCACTCACTCATACACTCACTCATACACTCACACACTCATACACTCACTCATACACACACTCACTCATACACTCACTCACTCATACACTCACTCATACACTCACTCACTCATACACTCACTCATACACTCACACACTCATACACTCACTCATACACACACTCACTCATACACACACTCACTCACTCATACACTCACTCACTCATACACTCACTCACTCATACACTCACTCACTCATACACTCATTCACTCATACACTCACTCATACACTCACTCACTCATACACTCACTCACTCATACACTCACTCATACACTCACTCATACACTCACTCACTCACTCATACACTCACTCATACACTCACTCACTCATACACTCACTCATACACTCACTCACTCATACACTCACTCATACTCAATACACTCACTCACCCACTCACTCATACACTCACTCATACACACACTCATACACTCACTCACTCACTCATACACTCACTCACTCACTCATACACTCACTCACCCACTCACTCATACACTCACTCACTCAAACACTCACTCATTCATACACTCACTCATACACTCACTCACTCATACACTCACTCACTGATACACTCACTCACTCAAACACTCACTCACTCATACACTCACTCACTCATACACTCACACATACACTCACTCAAACACTCACTCATACACTCACTCACCCACTCACTCATACACTTACTCATACACTCACTCACTCATACACTCACTCACGCATACACTCACTCAGCCACTCATTCACTCACTCATTCACTCACTCATACACTCACTCACCCACTCACCCACACACTCACCCACTCACCCACCCACCCACTGACCCATCCACCCACTCACCCACTCACTCACTCACCCACTCACTCACTCACCCACTCACTCACTCACACACTCACACACCCACTCACTCACCTACTCACTCACCCACTCACTCACCCACTAACCCACTCACTCACCCACTCACTCACTCACCCACTCACTCACCCACTCACCCACTCACTCACCCACTCACTCACACACTCACCCACCTACTCACCCACTCACTCACCCACCCACTCACACACGCACTCACTCACCCAACCACTCACACACTCACCCACCCACTCACCCACTCACCCACTCGCCCACTCGCTCACCCACTCACTCACCCACTCACCCACTCACTCACTCACCCACCCACTCACCCACCTACTCATCCACCCACTCACCCACTCACCCACACACTCACTCACTCACCCACCCATTCACCCACCTACTCACTCACCCACTCACCCACTCACCCACTCACTCACCCACTCACCCACCCACTCACTCACTCACCCACTCACCCACCCACTCACTCACTCACCCACCCACTCACCCACCCACTCACCCACACACTCACCCACTCACCCACCCACCCACTCACTCACTAACTCACCCACCCACTCACCCACACACTCACCCACTCACCCACTCACCCACACACTCACCCACTCACTCACACACTCACACACTCACTCACCCACCCACTCACCCACACACTCGCACACTCACCCACCCACTCACCCACTCACCCACCCACTCACCCACCTACTCACCCACTCACCCACTCACCCACCCACTCACCCACTCACCCACCCACTCACCCACTCACCCACTCACCTACTCACCCACCCACCCACCCACTCACCCACTCACCCACCCACCCACCCACTCACCCACCCACCCACCCACTCACTCACTCACCCACTCACTCACTCACCCACTCACTCACCCACTCACCCACTCACTCGCGCACTCACCCACCCACTCACCCACTCGCTCACCCACTCACCCACCTACTCACCCACCCACCCACTCACCCACTCACCCACTCACCCACCCACTCACCCACTCACCCACCCACCCACCCACTCACCCACCCACTCACCCACTCACCCACACACTCGCACACTCACTCACTCACCCAACCACTCGCACACTCACTCACTCACCCAACCACTCACACACTCACCCACTCACTCACCCACTCACCCACACACTCACCTACTCACCCACCCACTCACTCACTCGCCCACTCACCCACTGACCCACCCACTCACCCACTCACCCACACACTCGCACACTCACCCACCCACTCACCCACTCGCTCACCCACCTACTCACCCACCCACCCACTCACCCACTCACCCACCCACCCACCCACTCACCCACCCACCCACTCACCCACCCACCCACCCACTCACCCACCCACCCACCCACTCACCCACCCACCCACCCACTCACCCAACCACTCACCCACTCACTCACTCACCCACCTACTCACCCACACACTCACCCACTCACTCACTCACCCACCCACTCACCCACACACCCACTCACTCACCTACCCACTCACCCACTCACCCACCCACCCACTCACCCACTCACTCACTCACCCACTCACTCACTCACTCACCCACCTACCCACTCACCCACTCACCCACTCACTCACCCACCTACTCACCCACCCACTCACCCACACACGCACCCACTCACTCACCCACCCACCCACTCACTCACCCACCCACCCACTCACCCACCCACTCACCCACTCACTCACCTACCCACCCACTCACCCACCCACTCACCCACTCACCCACCCACCCACTCACCCACCCACCCACTCACCCACTCACCCACCCACCCACTCACCCACCCACCCACTCACCCACTCACCCACCCACTCAACCACTCACCCACCCACTCACCCACTCACCCACCCACTCAACCACTCACACACTCACTCACCCACCCACTCACCCACTCACCCACTCACCCACCCACTCACCCACTCACCCACACACTCGCACACTGTCAATCATCGCAGAGTGCTAAGGAATACATTTTCCAGTTGTTGATGCTGCTGCTGTTGTTGATGTTGTTGATGTTGTTGACTCACGTAGCCCGTAGCCATCCACACCTTTTTGTCAGAGACAGACAGAGAGACAGAAACGAATAATTGGACAGCGAATCATCAGCACGGTGTGTGAGTGTGTGTGAGTGTATCAAGTAGTGTGTGTGTGGGGAGCGGTGGTGCAGTGGTTAGCGCTACCCTGCGCTATGAACCCGGCGACCCGGGTTCGATTCCCGCTCACGGCCAACACCGCCGGTGACGATCATCTGAACCGGGTCCCGGGCCTCCCCTAGGTCGACTCAGCCTCAAATGAGTTACCTGGTGTAGCGGTGTGTAGTGAACATCGCCACTAAGGGAGAGACAAAGGCGGTCGGGCGTGGTTGCTGGCCACCCACCCCCTCGTGTGCCGTTAACCGGCCTTCAGAGGTGCTCGCTAACAGCACTTGCCCCTACAGTCTGTTAGAGGCTACCTGGGGGATCTTTGTCTGTGTAGGTAGCTACTACTAACAGCACTTGCCCCTACAGTCTGTTAGAGGCTACCTGGGGGATCTTTGTCTGTGTAGGTAGCTACTCGCTACTACTAACAGCACTTGCCCCTACAGTCTGTTAGAGGCTACCTGGGGGAGCTTTGTCTGTGTAGGTAGCTACCACTAACAGCACTTGCCCCTACAGCCTGTTAGAGGCTACACGGGGGATCTTTGTCTGTGTAGGTAGCTACCACCAACAGCACTTGCCCCTACAGCCTGCTAGAGGCTACACGGGGGATCTTTGTCTGTGTAGGTAGCTACCACTAACAGCACTTGCCCCTACAGCCTGCTAGAGGCTACACGGGGGATCTTTGTCTGTGTAGGTAGCTACCACTAACAGCACTTGCCCCTACAGTCGGTTAGAGGCTACCTGGGGGAGCTTTGTCTGTGTAGGTAGCTACTACTAACAGCACTTGCCCCTACAGCCTGTTAGAGGCTACACGGGGGATCTTTGTCTGTGTAGGTACCTACCACTAACAGCACTTGCCCCTACAGGTGCTAGAGGCTACCTGGGGGATCTTTGTCTGTGTAGGTAGCTACCACTAACAGCACTTGCCCCTACAGCCTGCTAGAGGCTACCTGGGGGAGCTTTGTCTGTGTAGGTAGATACTACTAACAGCACTTGCCCCTACAGTCTGCTAGAGGCTACCTGGGGGAGCTTTGTCTGTGTAGGTAGCTACTACTAACAGCACTTGCCCCTACAGCCTGCTAGAGGCTACCTGGGGGATCTTTGTCTGCGTAGGTAGCTACTACTAACAGCACTTGCCCCTACAGCCTGTTAGAGGCTACACGGGGGATCTTTGTCTGTGTAGGTAGCTACCACCAACAGCACTTGCCCCTACAGCCTGCTAGAGGCTACACGGGGGATCTTTGTCTGTGTAGGTAGCTACTACTAACAGCACTTGCCCCTACAGCCTGTTAGAGGCTACCTGGGGGATCTTTGTCTGTGTAGGTAGCTACTACTAACAGCACTTGCCCCTACAGCCTGCTAGAGGCTACACGGGGGAGCTTTGTCTGTGTAGGTAGCTACTACTAACAGCACTTGCCCCTACAGCCTGCTAGAGGCTATGCGGGGGATCTTTGTCTGTGTAGGTAGCTACTACTAACAGCACTTGCCCCTACAGCCTGTTAGAGGCTACCTGGGGGAGCTTTGTCCATTTAGGTAGCTACTCGCTACTACTAACAGCACTTGCCCCTACAGCCTGCTAGAGGCTACACGGGGGATCTTTGTCTGTGTAGGTAGCTACTACTAACAGCACTTGCCCCTACAGTCTGCTAGAGGCTACCTGGGGGAGCTTTGTCTGTGTAGGTAGCTACTACTAACAGCACTTGCCCCTGCAGCCTGCTAGAGGCTACCTGGGGGATCTTTGTCTGTGTAGGTAGCTACTACTAACAGCACTTGCCCCTACAGCCTGCTAGAGGCTACACGGGGGATCTTTGTCTGTGTAGGTAGCTACTACTAACAGCACTTGCCCCTACAGCCTGCTAGAGGCTACGCGGGGGATCTTTGTCTGTGTAGGTAGCTACCACTAACAGCACTTGCCCCTACAGCCTGCTAGAGGCTACACGGGGGATCTTTGTCTGTGTAGGTAGCTACTACTAACAGCACTTGCCCCTACAGTCTGCTAGAGGCTACACGGGGGATCTTTGTCTGTGTAGGTAGCTACTACTAACAGCACTTGCCCCTACAGTCTGCTAGAGCCTATCTGGGGGAGCTTTGTCTGTGTAGGTAGCTACCACCAACAGCACTTGCCCCTATAGCCTGCTAGAGGCTACACGGGGGATCTTTGTCTGTGTAGGTAGCTACCACTAACAGCACTTGCCCCTACAGCCTGCTAGAGGCTACACGGGGGATCTTTGTCTGTGTAGGTAGCTACTACTAACAGCACTTGCCCCTACAGCCTGTTAGAGGCTACCTGGGGGATCTTTGTCTGTGTAGGTAGCTACTACTAACAGCACTTGCCCCTACAGCCTGCTAGAGGCTACACGGGGGAGCTTTGTCTGTGTAAGTAGCTACTACTAACAGCACTTGCCCCTACAGCCTGCTAGAGGCTATGCGGGGGATCTTTGTCTGTGTAGGTAGCTACTACTAACAGCACTTGCCCCTACAGCCTGTTAGAGGCTACCTGGGGGAGCTTTGTCTATTTAGGTAGCTACTCGCTACTACTAACAGCACTTGCCCCTACAGCCTGCTAGAGGCTACACGGGGGATCTTTGTCTGTGTAGGTAGCTACTACTAACAGCACTTGCCCCTACAGTCTGCTAGAGGCTACACGGGGGACCTTTGTCTGTGTAGGTAGCTACTACTAACAGCACTTGCCCCTACAGCCTGCTAGAGGCTACACGGGGGATCTTTGTCTGTGTAGGTAGCTACCACCAACAGCACTTGCCCCTACAGCCTGATAGAGGCTACACGGGGGATCTTTGTCTGTGTAGGTAGCTACCACTAACAGCACTTGCCCCTACAGCCTGCTAGAGGCTACACGGGGGATCTTTGTCTGTGTAGGTAGCTACTACTAACAGCACTTGCCCCTACAGCCTGTTAGAGGCTACCTGGGGGAGCTTTGTCTGTGTAGGTAGCTACTACTAACAGCACTTGCCCCTGCAGCCTGTTAGAGGCTACCTGGGGGAGCTTTATCTCTGTGTGGGTAGCTACTACTAACAGCACTTGCCCCTACAGCCTGCTAGAGGCTATGCGGGGGATCTTTGTCTGTGTAGGTAGCTACTACTAACAGCACTTGCCCCTACAGCCTGTTAGAGGCTACCTGGGGGAGCTTTGTCCATTTAGGTAGCTACTCGCTACTACTAACAGCACTTGCCCCTACAGTCTGCTAGAGGCTACACGGGGGATCTTTGTCTGTGTAGGTAGCTACTACTAACAGTACTTGCCCCTACAGCCTGCTAGAGGCTACCTGGGGGAGCTTTCTCTGTCTAGGTAGCTACTCGCTACTACTAAGAGCACTTGGCCCCTACAGCCTGCTAGAGGCTACACGGGGGATCTTTGTCTGTGTAGGTAGCTACTACTAACAGCACTTGCCCCTACTGCCTGTTAGAGGCTACACGGGGGATCTTTGTCTGTGTAGGTAGCTACTACTAACAGCACTTGCCCCTACAGCCTGCTAGAGGCTACACGGGGGATCTTTGTCTGTGTAGGTAGCTACTACTAACAGCACTTGCCCCTACTGCCTGTTAGAGGCTACACGGGGGACCTTTGTCTTGTGAGGGGCTCACAAATTGCTTGGGAATTGGTGATTGGGGGCAGTTGTGGAGAGAATTTCCCGTGCTGGAGGCGCAGTGCTGTTGATTTCACAACGTGTGGAGCCCAAAGTTTCAATAAAAACACGTCAATATTCAAACGTACACACACACACACGTACACACACACGTACACACACGTACACACACACACGTACACACACACGTACACACACGTACACACACACACACGTACACACACACACGTACACACACGTATACACACGTACACAAACACACGTACACACACACACGTACACACACACACGTACACACACGTACACAAACACACGTACACACACACACGCACACACACACCACACACACACACGTACACACACACACGTAGACACACAAGTACGTACACACACACACACGTACACACACACACGTACACACACACACCTACGTACACACACCACACGTACACACACACGCACACACACGCACACACACACCACACACACACACACACCACACACACCACACACACACGTACACACACCCACACACACGCACACACGTACACACACACACATACACACACGCACACACGCACGTACACACTACACACACGTACACACACACACACGTACACACTACACACACACACCACACACACACGTACACACACACGTACACACACACACGTACACACACGTACACACACACGTACACACACACCTACACACACACGTACACACACACCTACACACACACCTACACACACACCACACACCACACACACACCACACACACCACACACACCTACACACACACGTTAACACACGTACACCTACGTACACACCTACGTACACACACACACACGTACACACCACACCTACGTACACACACACCACACACACACCTACACACACACACCTACACACACACACACTACACACACTACACACACACACCTACACACACACATACACACACACACGTACACACCTAAACACACACACACACACGTACACACACACACACTACACACACACACCTACACACACACCTACACACACCTACACACACTCCACACACACTCACGCTCGGTGACGACCAGCGACACCTCGTCGCACCGGAACACCGCCCACCTACACACACACCTACACACACACAGTGACACACATACACACACTCACAGTGACACACCTACACACACACACAGTGACACACACACAGTGACACACCTACACACACACACCTACACACACCTACGTACACACACACACACCTACACACACCTACACACACACCACACACACTCACACGTGCACTCACGCTCGGTGACGACCAGCGACACCTCGTCGCACCGGAACACCGCCCACACACACACACACCTACACACACCTACACACACACACACCTACACACACACAGTGACACACACACCTACACACACACACCTACGTTAACACACGTACACACACCACACCTACACACACACACCTACACACACCTACACACACACACACACCCACCTACACATACACACCTACACTCACACACACACACCTACACACACACCACACACTCCACACTACACTCACGCTCGGTGACGACCAGCGACACCTCGTCGCACCGGAACACCGCCTACACACACACACATACACACACACCTACACACACCTACACACACACACTCACACACGTACACCTACGTATACACACACCTACACACACTCACGCTCGGTGACGACCAGCGACACCTCGTCGCACCGGAATACCGCCTACACACACACACATACACACACACCTACACACACACACACCACACACACACGTACACACACACACTACACACACACACACAACACACACCTAAACACACACACCTACACAGACACACACCACACACACACCTACACACACCTACACACACACCTACACACACACCTACACACACCTACACACACGTACACACACCACACCTACACACACTACACACACTCTACATACACACACACACACGTACACACACACACACGTACACCTACGTACACACACACCTACACACACACACCTACACCACACACACCTACACACTACACACACACACCACACACACGTACACACGTACACCTACACACACACGTTAACACACGTACACCTACGTACACACACACGTACACACACACACCACATATACACACACCACACACACACATACACACCACACACACACACACACGTACACCTACGTACACACACTCCACGTGCACTCACGCTCGGTGACGACCAGCGACACCTCGTCGCACCGGAACACCGCCCACACACACACACACCTACACACACACACTACATACACACACTCACACACACACACCTACACACACCTACACACACACACACTCACACACGTACACCTACGTATACACACACCTACACACACTCACGCTCGGTGACGACCAGAGACACCTCGTCGCACCGGAACACCGCCCACCTACACACACACCTACACCTACACACACTACACACACACACACACCTACACCTACACACCTACACACCTACACACACTCACACATACACGTACACACACACCTACACACACACACACCTACACACTACATACACACACACTACACATACACCTACACACACACTCACGCTCGGTGACGACCAGCGACACCTCGTCGCACCGGAACACCGCCCACACACACACACACCTACACCTACACACACCTACACACACATACACACACACACCAACACCTACACACTACATACACACACACCTACACATACACCTACACTCTCACACTACACTCACGTTCGGTGACGACCAGCGACACCTCGTCGCACCAGAACACCGCCCACACACACACACACACCTACACACACACACTACATACACACGTACACTACACACATACACCTACACACTCACACTTCACTCACGCTCGGTGACGACCAGCGACACCTCGTCGCACCGGAACACCGCCCACACACACACACACCTACACACCTACACACACCACACACTACACACTACATACACACACCTACACACACACACCTACACCTACACACACACACTACACTCACGCTCGGTGACGACCAGCGACACCTCGTCGCACCGGAACACCGCCCACACACACACACATACACACACACCTACACACACACACCTACACATACACCTACACATACACACCTACACACACACGTACACACACACCTACACACACGTACACACGTACACACACCACACGTACACACGTACACACACACACACGCACACACACCTACACCTACACACGTACACACACTACACACACACACACTCACATACACACACTCCACACACACATACACACTACATACACATACACACACACCTACACATACACCTACACTCACACTACACTCACGCTCGGTGACGACCAGCGACATCTCGTCGCACCGGAACACCGCCCACACACACACACACACCTACACACACCACACACACCACACACACGTACACCTACACACCTACACACACCTACACACACTCACACACACCTACACATACACCTACACACTCCACACTACACTCACGCTCGGTGACGACCAGCGACACCTCGTCGCACCGGAACACCGCCCACACACACACATACACACACACCTACACACACACCACACACTACACACACACACACCTACACATACACCTACACACTCACTCACGCTCGGTGACGACCAGCGACAACTCGTCGCACCGGAACACCGCCCACACACACACACATACACACACACCTACACACACACACCTACACCTACACACTACATACACACACACCTACACACACCTACACACTCCACACTACACTCACGCTCGGTGACGACCAGCGACACCTCGTCGCACCGGAACACCGCCCACCTACACACACACCTACACCTACACACACTACACACACACACACACCTACACCTACACACCTACACACCTACACACACTCACACATACACGTACACACACACCTACACACACACACACCTACACACTACATACACACACACTACACTACACACTCCACACTCACTCACGCTCGGTGACGACCAGCGACACCTCGTCGCACCGGAACACCGCCCACACACACACACACCTACACCTACACACACCTACACACACATACACACACACACCAACACCTACACACTACATACACACACACCTACACATACACCTACACTCTCACACTACACTCACGTTCGGTGACGACCAGCGACACCTCGTCGCACCAGAACACCGCCCACACACACACCTACACCTACACACTACATACACACGTACACTACACACATACACCTACACACTCACACTTCACTCACGCTCGGTGACGACCAGCGACACCTCGTCGCACCGGAACACCGCCCACACACACACACACCTACACACCTACACACACCACACACTACACACTACATACACACACCTACACACACACACCTACACCTACACACACACACTACACTCACGCTCGGTGACGACCAGCGACACCTCGTCGCACCGGAACACCGCCCACACACACACACACACATACACACACACCTACACACACACACCTACACATACACCTACACATACACACCTACACACACACGTACACACACACCTACACACACGTACACACGTACACACACCACACGTACACACGTACACACACACACACGCACACACACCTACACCTACACACGTACACACACTACACACACACACACTCACATACACACACTCCACACACACATACACACTACATACACATACACACACACCTACACATACACCTACACTCACACTACACTCACGCTCGGTGACGACCAGCGACACCTCGTCGCACCGGAACACCGCCCACACACACACATACACACACACCTACACACACTACACACACACTACACATACACCTACACACACACTCACTCACGCTCGGTGACGACCAGCGACAACTCGTCGCACCGGAACACCGCCCACACACACACACACACACCTACACACACACACCTACACCTACACACTACATACACACACACCTACACACACCTACACCTACACACTCCACACTACACTCACGCTCGGTGACGACCAGCGACACCTCGTCGCACCGGAACACCGCCCACACACACACACATACACACACACCTACACATACACCTACACATACACCTACACACTACACACACCTACACATACACCTACACACTACACTCACGCTCGGTGACGACCAGCGACACCTCGTCGCACCGGAACATCGCCCACACACACACACACCTACACATACACCTACACACACACCTACACATACACCTACACACACTACATACACCTACACACCTACACATACACCTACACACTCCACACTACACTCACGCTCGGTGACGACCAGCGACACCTCGTCGCACCGGAACACCGCCCACACACACACACACACCTACACCTACACACACTACACACACACCTACACACACCTACCTACACACACCTACACATACACCTACACACACCTACACATACACCTACACACTACACTCACGCTCGGTGACGACCAGCGACACTTCGTCGCACCGGAACACCGCCCACACACACACACATACACACACACCACACACACCACACACACGTACACACTACACACCTACACACACACACCTACACATACACCTACACATACACACGTACACCTACACACACCTACACACACACCTACACATACACCTACACACTCCACACTACACTCACGTTCGGTGACGACCAGCGACACCTCGTCGCACCGGAACACCGCCCACACACACACACACCTACACACACACTCACACCTACACACGTACACATACACCTACACACTACACATACACACACACCTACACACTCCACACTCACGTTCGGTGACGACCAGCGACACCTCGTCGCACCGGAACACCGCCCACACACACACACACACCTACACACCTACACACTACATACACCTACACATACACCTACACACACACCTACACATACACCTACACACTACACACACTACACTACACACACTACACTCACGTTCGGTGACGACCAGCGACACCTCGTCGCACCGGAACACCGCCCGGCTCGCGCACCGCAGCCGGCGGGCGCAGCGATAGCGGCCTCCGTCGGCGGCGGCCGCGGCCGACAGCAGCAGCGAGGCTCCGTCGGCCGCCAGGGCCGCCGGAGGCTCCCTGGCGGGGACGGGGGCCCCAGAGGCGTTGAGCGGCGGGGAGGGCCCCGCGCGATGGAGGACCAGGATCCGCCCGGCCGGCGGCGTCAGCCTGTACCAGGCCACCGAGGCGACGGAGCAGGGGCCCAACAACGCTGGGCCCAACGCTGGGCCCAACGCTGGGGCCGCCGGAGGGCGCCCGTGGCACGGAAGGATGACATCTCGGAGTGGCGCCGAGCGGACCTGCTGCACCAGGTCGCACTCTGGGGAGGGAGGACGGAGGACGGAGGAAGCGGCGAGGTTGGTCAACATCTCAGCATTGAAACCCACGACTCTCCTGTACACCAGGAGAGGTAGTCAACATTGAAACCACGAATCTCCTGTAGGCCCGGCGAGGTTGGTCAACATCTCAGCATTGGAAACCACGAGTCTCCTGTAGGCCCGGCGAGGTGGTCAACATCTCAGCATTGAAACCACGAGTCTCCTGTAGGCCCGGCGAGGTTGGTCAACATCTCAGCATTGAAACCACGAGTCTCCTGTAGGCCCGGCGAAGTAGTCAACATTGAACCCACGACCTCCTGTAGGCCCGGCGAGGTGGTCAACATCTCAGCATTGAAACCACGAGTCTCCTGTAGGCCCGGCGAGGTAGTCAACATTGAAACCACGACCTCCTGTACACCAGGCGAGGTAGTCAACATCTCAGCATTGAACCCACGACCTCCTGTAGACCAGGCGAGGTAGTCAACATCTCAGCATTGAACCCACGACCTCCTGTACACCAGGCGAGGTAGTCAACATTGAACCCACGACCTCCTGTAGACCCGGCGAGGTGGTCAACATCTCAACATTGAACCCACGACTCTCCTGTACACCAGGCGAGGTGGTCAACATCTCAGCAGAACCCACGACCTCCTGTACACCAGGCGAGGTAGTCAACATCTCAGCATTGAAACCACGACCTCCTGTACACCAGGCGAGGTGGTCAACATCTCAGCATTGAACCCAAGACTCTCCTGTAGGCCCGGCGAGGTAGTCAACATCTCAGCAGAACCCACGACCTCCTGTACACCAGGCGAGGTGGTCAACATCTCAGCATTGAACCCACGACTCTCCTGTAGACCAGGCGAGGTGGTCAACATCTCAACATTGAACCCAAGACTCTCCTGTAGGCCCGGCGAGGTGGTCAACATCTCAGCATTGAACCCACGACTCTCCTGTAGGCCCGGCGAGGTAGTCAACATCTCAGCAGAACCCACGACCTCCTGTACACCAGGCGAGGTGGTCAACATATCAGCATTGAAACCACGACCTCCTGTACACCAGGAGAGGTAGTCAACATCTCAACATTGAACCCACGACCTCCTGTACACCAGGCGAAGTGGTCAACATCTCAACATTGGAACCACGAATCTCCTGTAGGCCCGGCGAGGTTAGTCAACATCTCAGCATTGAAACCACGAATCTCCTGTAGGCCCGGCGAGGTAGTCAACATCTCAACATTGAACCCACGACTCTCCTGTAGGCCCGGCGAGGTTAGTCAACATCTCAACATTGAACCCACGACTCTCCTGTAGGCCCGGCGAGGCGGTCAACATCTCAACATTGAAACCACGACTCTCCTGTAGGCCCGGCGAGGTTAGTCAACATCTCAACATTGAAACCACGACTCTCCTGTAGGCCCGGCGAGGTAGTCAACATCTCAGCATTGAACCCACGAATCTCCTGTAGACCAGGCGAGGTGGTCAACATCTCAGCATTGAACCCACGACTCTCCTGTAGGCCCGGCGAGGTAGTCAACATCTCAGCATTGAAACCACGACTCTCCTGTAGGCCCGGCGAAGTAGTCAACATCTCAGCATTGAACCCACGACCTCCTGTAGGCCCGGCGAGGTGGTCAACATCTCAGCAGAACCCACGACCTCCTGTACACCAGGAGAGGTGGTCAACATCTCAGCATTGAACCCACGACCTCCTGTACACCAGGAGAGGTGGTCAACATATCAGTATTGAAACCACGACCTCCTGTACACCAGGAGAGGTAGTCAAAATCTCAGCATTGAAACCACGAATCTCCTGTAGACCAGGCGAGGTGGTCAACATCTCAACATTGAACCCACGACTCTCCTGTAGACCAGGCGAGGTAGTCAACATCTCAACATTGAAACCACGACCTCCTGTACACCAGGCGAGGTAGTCAACATCTCAACATTGAAACCACGAATCTCCTGTACACCAGGCGAGGTGGTCAACATCTCAACATTGAACCCACGACTCTCCTGTACACCAGGCGAGGTAGTCAACATCTCAGCATTGAAACCACGAATCTCCTGTAGGCCCGGCGAGGTGGTCAACATCTCAACATTGAACCCACGAATCTCCTGTAGGCCCGGCGAGGTAGTCAACATCTCAGCATTGAACCCACGACTCTCCTGTACACCAGGCGAGGTAGTCAACATCTCAACATTGAACCCACGACTCTCCTGTAGACCCGGCGAGGTAGTCAACATCTCAGCATTGAACCCACGAATCTCCTGTAGACCAGGCAAGGTAGTCAACATCTCAACATTGAACCCACGACCTCCTGTACACCAAGAGAGGTAGTCAATATCTCAACATTGAAACCACGACCTCCTGTACACCAGGAGAGGTAGTCAACATCTCAACATTGAACCCACGAATCTCCTGTACACCAGGCGAGGTAGTCAACATCTCAACATTGAACCCACGACTCTCCTGTAGGCCCGGCGAGGTAGTCAACATCTCAACATTGACCCCACGACCTCCTGTACACCAGGCGAGGTAGTCAACATCTCAACAATAAACCCACGAATCTCCTGTAGGCCCGGCGAGGTACTCAACATCTCAACATTGAACCCACGACCTCCTGTACACCAGGCGAGGTAGTCAACATCTCAACATTGAAACCACGACTTTCCTGTAGGCCCGGCGAGGTAGTCAACATCTCAACATTGAAACCACGACTCTCCTGTACACCAGGCGAGGTAGTCAACATCTCAACATTGAACCCACAACTCTCCTGTACACGAGGCGAGGTAGTCAACATCTCAGCATTGAACCCACGACCTCCTGTACACCAGGCGAGGTAGTCAACATCTCAGCAGAACCCACGAGTCTCCTGTAGGCCAGGCGAGGTAGTCAACATCTCAGCATTGAACCCACGAATCTCCTGTAGACCAGGCGAGGTAGTCAACATCTCAGCATTGAAACCACGAATCTCCTGTACACCAGGCGAGGTAGTCAACATCTCAGCATTGAACCCACGACTCTCCTGTACACCAGGCGAGGTGGTCAACATCTCAGCAGAACCCACGACCTCCTGTACACCAGGCGAGGTGGTCAACATCTCAGCATTGAACCCACGACCTCCTGTACACCAGGCGAGGTAGTCAACATCTCAACATTGAACCCACGACCTCCTGTACACCAAGAGAGGTAGTCAATATCTCAACATTGAAACCACGACCTCCTGTACACCAGGAGAGGTAGTCAACATCTCAGCAGAACCCACGAGTCTCCTGTAGGCCAGGCGAGGTAGTCAACATCTCAGCATTGAACCCACGACCTCCTGTACACCAGGCGAGGTAGTCAACATCTCAACATTGAACCCACGACCTCCTGTACACCAAGCGAGGTAGTCAACATCTCAGCAGAACCCACGAGTCTCCTGCAGGCCAGGCGAGGTAGTCAACATCTCAGCATTGAACCCACGACCTCCTGTACACCAGGCGAGGTAGTCAACATCTCAACATTGAACCCACGACCTCCTGTACACCAGGCGAGGTAGTCAACATCTCAGCAGAACCCACGAGTCTCCTGTAGGCCAGGCGAGGTAGTCAACGTCTCAGCATTGAACCCACGACCTCCTGTACACCAGGCGAGGTAGTCAACATCTCAGCATTGAACCCACGACCTCCTGTACACCAGGCGAGGTAGTCAACATCTCAGTCAAGCCATGGCACCTGCGGGGTCTGTCCCGTGACCTCCTCCTGCACCTAGCCTGGCACAGCAGTATGAGTGAGTGGGCGAGTGGGTGGGTGAGTGGGTGGGTGAGTGGGTGGGTGAGTGGGTGAGTGAGTGAGTGGGTGGATGAGTGAGTGGGTGGGTGAGTGAGTGGGTGGGTGAGTGGGTGGGTGACTGAGTGAGTGGGTGGGTGAGTGGGTGGGTGACTGAGTGAGTGAGTGGGTGGGTGAGTGAGTGGGTGGGTGGGTGAGTGAGTGGGTGAGTGAGTGGGTGGGTGGGTGAGTGAGTGATTGAATGGGCGAGTGGGTGGGTGAGTGGGTGGGTGAGTGGGTGCGTGAGTGGGTGGGTGGGTGGGTGAGTGGGTGGGTGGGTGGTGGGTGAGTGAGTGAGTGGGTGGGTGAGTGAGTGAGTGGGTGAGACGGTGAGTGAGTGAGTGGGTGGGTGAGTGAGTGGGTGAGAGGGTGAGTGAGTGGGTGAGTGAGTGAGTGAGTGGGTGAGTGAGTGGGTGGGTGAGTGAGTGGGTGGGTGAGTGGGTGGGTGAGTGAGTGAGTGGGTGGGTGAGTGAGTGGGTGAGTGAGTGAGTGGGTGGGTGAGTGATTGAGTGGGCGAGTGGGTGAATGAGTGGGTGGGTGAGTGAGTGGGTGGGTGAGTGAGTGGGTGGGTGGTGGGTGAGTGAGTGGGTGGGTGGGTGAGTGAGTGAGTGAGTGGGTGAGTGGGTGAGTGGGTGAGAGGGTGAGTGAGTGGTTGAGTGAGTGAGTGGGTGAGTGAGTGGGTGGGTGAGTGGGTGGGTGAGTCGGTGGGTGGTGGGTGAGTGAGTGGGTGGGTGAGTGGGTGAGAGGGTGAGTGGGTGGGTGAGTCGGTGGTTGATGCGTGAGTGAGTGGGTGGGTGAGTGAGTGGGTGGGTGATTGGGTGGGTGAGTGGGTGGGTGAGTGGGTGGGTGGGTGAGTGAGTGGGTGGGTGATGGGTGAGTGAGTGGGTGGGTGAGTGAGTGGGTGGGTGAGTGAGTGGGTGGGTGGGTGAGTGAGTGGGTGGGTGAGTGAGTGGGTGGGTGGTGGGTGAGTGAGTGTACATGTGTATTTCTATGTGTATGTATGTGTAGATGTGTGTATGTCTATGCATGTATATGTGTACATGTGTGTATGTATGCGTGTGTACATGTGTGTGTGTGCATGTGTACATGTGTGCATGTCTACGTGTACATGCGTGTATGTCTACGTGTACATGCGTGTATGTCTATGTATGTATGTCTATGTATGTATGTCTATGTGTACATGTGTGTATGTGTGCATGTGTGTATGTGTACGTGTGTGTGTGTGTGGGGAGCGATAGTGTAGCGGTTAGCGCGCTGCGCTATGAACCTGGCGACCCGGGTTCGATTCCCGCTCACGGCCAACACCAGTGACGATTATCTGAACCGGTCCCGGGCCTCCCCTAGGTCGACTCAGCCTCAAATGAGTACCTGGTGCGGTGTGTAGTGAACATCGCCACTAGGGAGACAAAGGCGGTCGGGCGTGGTGCTGGCCACCCACCCCCTCGTGTACCGTTCCGGCCTTCATAGGTGCTCGCTAACAGCACTTGCCCCTACAGTCTGTAACAGGCTATATGGGGGATCTTTGTCTTTGTATGCGTGTGTACATGTGTGTACATGTGTGTACATGTGTGTACATGTGTGTACATGTGTGTACATGTGTGTACATGTGTGTACATGTATGTCTATGTATGTATGTATGCGTGTATGTGTACGTGTGTGTGTACATATGTGCGTGTATGTGTACATGTATGTATATGTATGTATGCGTGTATGCGTGTATGTATGCGGTGTACATGTGTGTGTGTGTGAATGTGTGTGTGTGTATCGCACGTGTGTGTAACTCGGTGTGTGTGTGTGTGTGTGTAACTCGGTGTGTGTAACGCACGTGTGTGTAACTCGGTGTGTAGGTGTGTGCATGACTAGCGTAGCCACCCATAGTACCTTGTGCCCGTGAGGGTGCTGTTAGAGGCAGCAGCATCATCAGCATCATCATCAGCATCATCATCGCACGTGTGTGTAACTCTGTGTGTGTGTAACTCGGTGTGTGTGTGTGTAACTCGGTGTGTGTGTGTGTGTAACTCGGTGTGTGTGTGTGTGTGTAACTCGGTGTGTGTGTGTATCGCACGTGTGTGTGTGTAACTCGGTGTGTGTGTGTGTGTGTAACTCGGTGTGTGTGTGTGTAACTCGGTGTGTGTGTGTGTATCGCACGTGTGTGTAACTCGGTGTGTGTGTGTGTGTGTAACTCGGTGTGTGTGTGTGTAACTCGGTGTGTGTGTGTGTGTAACTCGGTGTGTGTGTGTGTAACTCGGTGTGTGTGTATCGCACGTGTGTGTAACTCGGTGTGTGTGTATGTGTGTAACTCGGTGTGTGTGTGTGTGTGTGTAACTCGGTGTGTGTGTGTGTGTGTGTAACTCGGTGTGTGTGTGTGTAACTCGGTGTGTGTGTGTGTAACTCGGTGTGTGTGTAACGCACGTGTGTGTGTATCGCACGTGTGTGTGTATCGCACGTGTGTGTAACTCGGTGTGTGTGTGTGTAACTCGGTGTGTGTGTGTGTGTGCATGACTAGCGTAGCCACCCACAGTACCTTGTGCCTGTGAGGGTGCTGCTAGAGGCAGCAGCAGCAGCATCATCATCACACGTGTCACACACGTGTGTGTGTATCGCACGTGTGTGTAACTCGGAGTGTGTGTGTATCGCACGTGTGTGTAACTCGGAGTGTGTGTAACTCGGTGTGTGTGTGTGTAACTCGGTGTGTGTGTGTGTGTGTGTAACTCGGTGTGTGTGTGTGTAACTCGGTGTGTGTGTGTGTGTAACTCGGTGTGTGTGTGTGTAACTCGGTGTGTGTGTGTGTGTAACTCGGTGTGTGTGTGTGTGTCTAACTCGGTGTGTGTGTGTGTGTCTAACTCGGTGTGTGTGTAACGCACGTGTGTGTAACTCGGTGTGTGTGTGTGTAACTCGGTGTGTGTGTGTGTAACTCGGTGTGTGTGTGTGTAACTCGGTGTGTGTGTGTGTGTAACTCGGTGTGTGTGTGTAACTCGGTGTGTGTGTGTGTGTGCATGACTAGCGTAGCCACCCACAGTACCTTGTGCCCGTGAGGGTGCTGCTAGAGGCAGCAGCAGCAGCAGCATCATCATCATCAGCATCATCATCGTCGTCGTATTCGCGATGAGCCAAGCGAATGTGAATCCCACTCCGACCTCCATCGCCCCGCCCCCTTGGCTCTGAGCGGCCGCTCAGCGAATCAACGAGGACCCGGCGCGGGGCACGGAACGACCTCGCGGAGCCGGGGGGCGGGGGCTAGAGACAGGGGGCGGGGCGAGGGGCAAGAGAGGGAGGGGTCTGTGTGGGTCTCTGTGGGTGTAATGGGGTCTCTGTGGGTCTCTGTGGGTGTCTATGGGCGTCTATGGGTCTCTATGTGAATAGTCTATGGGTCTGTATGTGAGTCTTTGGGTCTGTATGTGAGTCTTTTGGGTCTCTGTGTGAGTAGTCTATGGGTCTCTGTGTGAGTAGTCTATGGGTCTCTGTGTGAGTAGTCTATGGGTCTGTATGTGAGTCTTTGGGTCTGTATGTGAGTCTATGGGTCTCTATGTGAATAGTCTATGGGTCTGTATGTGAGTCTTTGGGTCTGTATGTGAGTCTTTTGGGTCTCTGTGTGAGTAGTCTATGGGTCTCTGTGTGAGTAGTCTATGGGTCTCTGTGTGAGTAGTCTATGGGTCTGTATGTGAGTCTATGTGTCTGTATGTGAGTCTATGGGTCTGTATGTGAGTCTCTGGGTCTGTATGTGAGTCTTTGGGTCTCTGTGTGAATAGTCTATGGGTCTCTGTGTGAATAGTCTATGGGTCTGTATGTGAGTCTATGGGTCTGTACGTGTGTCTATGGGTCTCTGTGTGAATAGTCTATGGGTCTCTGTGTGAGTCTATGGGTCTGTATGTGTGTCTATGGGTCTCTGTGTGAATAGTCTATGGGTCTGTATGTGAGTCTATGGGTCTGTATGTGTGTCTATGGGTCTCTGTGTGAATAGTCTATGGGTCTGTATGTGAGTCTATGTGTCTGTATGTGAGTCTATGGGTCTGTATGTGAGTCTCTGGGTCTGTATGTGAGTCTATGGGTCTGTATGTGAGTCTATGGGTCTGTATGAGTGTCTATGGGTCTCTGTGTGAATAGTCTATGGGTCTGTATGTGAGTCTATGGGTCTCTGTGTGAATAGTCTATGGGTCTGTATGTGAGTCTATGGGTCTGTATGTGTGTCTATGGGTCTCTGTGTGAATAGTCTATGGGTCTGTATGTGAGTCTATGGGTCTGTATGTGTGTCTATGGGTCTCTGTGTGAGTAGTCTATGGGTCTGTATGTGAGTCTATGGGTCTGTATGTGTGTCTATGGGTCTGTATGTGTGTCTATGGGTCTCTGTGTGAATAGTCTATGGGTCTGTATGTGAGTCTATGGGTCTGTATGTGTGTCTATGGGTCTGTATGAGTGTCTATGGGTCTCTGTGTGAATAGTCTATGGGTCTGTATGTGAGTCTATGGGTCTCTGTGTGAATAGTCTATGGGTCTGTATGTGAGTCTATGGGTCTCTGTGTGAATATTCTATGGGTCTGTATGTGAGTCTATGGGTCTGTATGTGTGTCTATGGGTCTCTGTGTGAATAGTCTATGGGTCTGTATGTGAGTCATTGGGTGTCTGTGGGTGTCTGGATGAGGCTCATGGCGATAAACGATTTGGTGTGATTCACGGCTGTCCCGCGTTGAGTAACTTCCTGTCCGCTGCATCCGGTACCTCCCGCAAATAGCACGATGGCGACAAACAACAACAACAACCACAACAACATCCACATCCACAACTACCACAACCACAACATCCACAACAACAACATCCACAACAACAACCACAACCACAATATCCACAACAACAACCACAACAACAACAACCACATCCACAACCACAACAACAGTCACAATAACAACCACAACAACCACAATAACCACATCCACAACAACAACATCCACAACAACCACAACAACGAAAACCATAACAACAACCACCACAACCACAACAACCACATCCACAACATCCGCAACAACCACAACAACCACAACAACAACAACCACAACAACATCCACAACAACAACAACAATATCCACAACAACAACCACAACAACGAAAACCATAACAACCACCACAACCACAACAACAACCACAACCACAACAACCACCACAACCACAACCACTACAACCACAACCACTACAACCACAACAACCACAACAACCACAACAACAACCACAACAACAACCACAACAACCAAAACAACAACCACTACAACAACCACTACAACCACAACAACCACAACTACAACCACAACAACAACAACAACAACCACAACCACCACAACAACAACCACAACAACAACCACAACAACCACAACAACAACCACTACAACAACCACTACAACAACTACAACCACAAATACAACCACAACAACAACAACCACAACCACAACCACAACAACCACAACAACAACCACAACAACCACAACAACAACCACAACAACAACCACAACAACAACCACAACAACCACCACCACAACAACAACAACCACAACAACATCCACAACCACAACAACCACAACCACCACAACAACAACAATAACAACCACAACCACCACAACAACCACAACAACAACCACAACAACCACAACAACAACCACTACAACAACCACTACAACAACTACAACCACAACTACAACCACAACAACAACAACCACAACCACCACAACAACAACCACAACAACCACAACCACAACAACAACCACAACAACAACAACCACAACAATAACAACCACCACAACAACAACCACGTGAACAGAACGTGACATTTCGTTACCAGTGCAGCGCTAGTGTTTTAGTGTGTAGTGTATAGTGTAGTGTATAGTGTAGTGTATAGTGTAGTGTATAGTGTAGTGTATAGTGTAGTGTATAGTGTAGTGTATAGTGTAGTGTATAGAGTAGTGTTGTAGTGTATAGTGTAGTGTATAGTGTAGTGTATAGTGTAGTGTATAGAGTAGTGTTGTAGTGTATAGTGTAGTGTATAGTGTAGTGTATAGTGTAGTGTATAGAGTAGTGTTGTAGTGTATAGTGTAGTGTATAGTGTAGTGTATAGTGTAGTGTATAGTGTAGTGTATAGAGTAGTGTTGTAGTGTATAGTGTAGTGTATAGTGTAGTGTATAGTGTAGTGTATAGTGTAGTGTATAGTGTAGTGTATAGAGTAGTGTTGTAGTGTATAGTGTAGTGTATAGTGTAGTGTATAGTGTAGTGTATAGTGTAGTGTATAGTGTAGTGTATAGAGTAGTGTTGTAGTGTATAGTGTAGTGTATAGTGTAGTGTATAGTGTAGTGTATAGTGTAGTGTTGTAGTGTATAGTGTAGTGTATAGTGTAGTGTATAGTGTAGTGTATAGTGTAGTGTAAAGTAGTGTAGTGTATAGTGTAGTGTGTGGTGTAGTGTATAGTGTAGTGTATAGTGTAGTGTATAGTGTAGTGTATAGTGTAGTGTGTAGTGTAGTGTATAGTGTAGTGTATAGTGTAGTGTATAGTGTAGTGTATAGTGTAGTATATAGTGTATAGTGTAGTGTATAGTGTAGTCTATAGTGTAGTGTGTAGTGTAGTGTATAGTGTAGTGTATAGTGTAGTGTATAGTGTAGTGTATAGTATAGTGTATAGTGTAGTGTATAGTGTAGTGTATAGTGTAGTGTATAGTGTAGTGTATAGTGTAGTGTGTAGTGTAGTGTGTAGTGTATAGTGTAGTGTATAGTGTATAGTGTAGTGTATAGTGTAGTGTGTAGTGTAGTGTATAGTGTAGTGTATAGTGTAGTGTATAGTGTAGTGTATAGTGTAGTGTATAGTGTAGTGTATAGTGTAGTGTATAGTGTAGTGTATAGTGTTTTAGTGTGTAGTGTATAGTGTAGTGTATAGTGTAGTGTATAGTGTAGTGTATAGTAGTGTAGTGTATAGTGTAGTGTGTAGTGTAGTGTATAGTGTAGTGTATAGTGTAGTGTATAGTGTAGTGTAGTGTATAGTGTAGTGTATAGTATAGTGTATAGTGTAGTGTATAGTGTTTTAGTGTAGTGTAGTGTGTAGTGTAGTGTGTAGTGTATAGTGTATTTTATAGTGTAGTGTATAGTGTAGTGTATAGTGTAGTGTATAGTGTTTTAGTGTGTAGTGTATAGTGTAGTGTATAGTGTAGTGTATAGTGTAGTGTATAGTGTAGTGTATAGTGTAGTGTATAGTGTAGTGTATAGTGTAGTCTATAGTGTAGTGTGTAGTGTAGTGTATAGTGTAGTGTGTAGTGTAGTGCATAGTGTAGTGTATAGTATAGTGTATAGTGTAGTGTATAGTGTATAGTGTAGTGTATAGTGTAGTGTATAGTGTAGTGTATAGTGTATAGTGTAGTGTATAGTGTAGTGTGTAGTGTAGTGTGTAGTGTAGTGTATAGTGTAGTGTATAATGTAATGTATAGTGTAGTGTATAGTGTATAGTGTAGTGTATAGTGTAGTGTGTAGTGTAGTGTATAGTGTAGTGTATAGTGTATAGTGTAGTGTATAGTGTAGTGTGTAGTGTAGTGTATAGTGTAGTGTATAGTGTAGTGTATAGTGTAGTGTATAGTGTTTTAGAGTGTAGTGTATAGTGTAGTGTATAGTGTAGTGTATAGTGTAGTGTATAGTGTAGTGTATAGTAGTGTATAGTGTAGTGTATAGTGTAGTGTGTAGTGTAGTGTATAGTGTAGTGTATAGTGTAGTGTAGTGTATAGTGTAGTGTAGTGTATAGTATAGTGTATAGTGTAGTGTAGTGTGTAGTGTATAGTGTAGTGTATAGTGTTTTAGTGTAGTGTAGTGTGTAGTGTAGTGTGTAGTGTATAGTGTAGTGTATAGTGTAGTGTATAGTGTTTTAGTGTGTAGTGTATAGTGTAGTGTATAGTGTATAGTGTAGTGTATAGTGTTTTAGTGTGTAGTGTATAGTGTAGTGTATAGTGTAGTGTATAGTAGTGTATAGTGTAGTGTGTAGAGGTGTAGTGTATAGTATAGTAGTGTATAGTAGTGTAGTGTATAGTAGTGTAGTGTATAGTAGTGTAGTGTATAGTGTAGTGTATAGTGTAGTGTATAGTGTAATGTAGTAGTGTATAGTGTAGTATATAGTGTAGTGTAGTGAGTAGTGTAGTGTATAGTGTAGTGTATAGTAGTGTAATGTATAGTGTAGTGTGTAGTGTAGTGTATCGTGTAGTGTATAGTGTAGTGTATAGTGTATAGTAGTGTATAGTGT